GTAATAATATAATAAATTTATAAAACAATAAAATAAGTTTTAGCATATTTCAGTTTATAAGTTTCGAAATCGGGTTTTGGGTTTTAGGTTTTGGAAAAATAAATGCATTTCCGAAATTAGGTTTCGTTATATACTAAAACCTAAAGAGTTTCGGGAGGTTTCAGTTTTGATACCCATGTTTAATCTCTAGATTTGGATACTTGAAAAAATGTAGGTACTTTAATCTTTTTGATATTCATTAGAATATTATTAATATTTCAAGGGAATAAGTTTTAGCACTATTAGCTGTTATTACTATTATTTTTGATGATCGATTTATTTTATATTTCAGTTTTTCTACTAGGATTTTAGTTATAATACTAATGATAGCTTCACTATTAATATTTACAGTTTAAGCTTTCTGTCTAATCTTTAAAATATATTTTGCAGCTGAGGTTGGCTCATCATCATTTTTTACCAGATTAGCTTTCTTGATTTCATTAGTAACTCTTTCTCTTGAATACCTAATAGCTCAAGCTAATCTAGAATAATATTTAGAAATTGTATGTGCAGCTTGACCAACTGAAAGTCTACCTGGTAAATTTTGCAAATAGGTTGAGACATTAAATTCAGTTAATTATTTAATAGGAACATGTAATAACCTTCATCAAGAAGTTTAATGCTTTTTCAATTTTAACTGGTTTAGATACTAGTTTTAGTATAGGTTCTTTCATTACTAAATCTTTAACAATTGTAGTTCTAGGTAGCTTCAGAATTTTTATGAGTTTTCTTTTATTCTTAGAAACAGCATTTCTAGAATAAAGTCCAGATCTAGTGTTTAAATAGACTTCATATTTTTCTTTATCACAATATTCTTCTGAAGTATATTCTTTATTATCATATTCTTTCTTATAATATTGGTTAACTAAATATACATCACTTTTATCATTATAATAAGGTCTCCTATCATTTCTTCTGGATTGTTAACAAGATTAAGAGCAGTTTCTGATTATGTGTTCTTCTATATTATAATTATAACAAGTTATGAGAAGCATATTCTCCTAGTAGCATTAGTATAAGTTCACTTAGTTTATTTCCTTAGAGGTTGTTGAAGTTGAGCTAACAGAGCAATTACCAAGTTAGCATAGTAAATAGACAATTGTTCTAATTTATTGGTGAGTTTATTTACTTCAGTATTAGTAACCACATTTTAGAGGTAAAAACTGCAGTAATGCTAATATCCTTAGGTGCTTTTATAAAGCGAAGTTATATTCAATTTTAATAGTTTATGCAGAGTTTATAGCAGTATTTAAATCAGCTGGATTTTAAAAATAGACTAAAAGGATTATAGGCAGGATTAGTCATATAAGAAACATTCTTTTCTTTTAGTGCATTGTTAGTTAATCTCATATGAAATACTAATTTCTTAAATTTATTAGTATAGAAGTCTACAGATTCATCTGTTTGCTATCACAGAAAAGTTATTTCTTAATACCATTAATTTTTTTTAATTTCACTAATAAATTGAACTTTAAATAAATTTACAAAGTTTTGTCTACAATTTTCTTTGTTATTCCAATTATCTTTTATAATAGTAGTTACACTATAAAACTAATTAGCAGCTACATCTTTAAGGTATTTTACAGCAAAAGCCTTATTCTATACTTCAATTATCTATCTATTAGTAGTTGCAGCCCTTTTAAATACAGCGAGCTATTTTATAGGATCTTTATTTTCAGCTTCTGAGAAATAGTCAATTATAATTATAGATCTTTCACCCCTTTAAGCTAATTAAATTCATTCACTAATATCTATCAAATATACTTAATTATTTTCAAAAATCTCTTAAAAAATAACTCTTATTTCATCTCTGATTGCCATAGTTTCAGTTTCAATTGGAGGTGAATTAGGTAGTATATTAAATAAGCTAAATGCAGAAGGTATTGAAAAGATAATAATTTGTTATAATAATTATCAATCTATTATAAGTCTTATTAGGTCTTGTTCTAAGATTTCAGTATATATCTTTAAGGAGGTAAATAAGGTAATAATTCTTTAAAAACAATTTGTTCAAAAGGATATACCTTATATGTATAAATATATTACGTTTGCTGAAAAAGATCTAACATAATATCAAATACTAGAAAGTAGCTAATAGATAATTCTTATTAAATGAGAGTTATGATGTTTAGATTCAAAGACACTACTAAGCTATTCAAATAGGTTGAAAGTAATAATAGTCCTAAAAGTAAAAGTTTCTGCTTGAGATTCATATTTTAACCAATTTCAAAAATTCTTAAAACTATTGAAAAGAGTATCAAGTAGAAAAAGAGGATAATACTAATCATTAGTATAATCTGAGTTAAAAGTTTTGTCTGTATAATGACTAACTATATATTCTGATATAGTTCTTTCAAGTTTCTCAAAATTTATACACTTCGTTAGTCCTTTAGCAGTTCATTGTATATATTTTCAATAAAGATTCTTTTAGCAGTGTTAAGCTTAAACACTACGTCGTTAGGATAACAAAGCTTATTTGCTAATAGGGAGTTTAAGTTGTAAACTATGAAAGAAATAAAC